TCTTTGAGATCAGTGAGACTTTACTGCTTTAGGCATACTAGCCTTTTCTGCACTGCAGTCTATATCTTTACTAGCAATATACAGTGGTACCTCTACTTACGAACGCCCCTACTTACGAATTTTTCGAGATACCATCAGCTCCAGCCCCAAAAATTTACCTCTACTTATGAACTCGCCTCGACTTCCGAACCAGATCCGCGGCCGTTTTCCGCCCATTCCACGTGGTCCGCAGCCATTTTCCGCCCGTTCCACGTGGTCCGCAGCCATTTTCCGCCCATTCCATGTGGTCCGCGGCCATTTTTCTGCCCGTTCCACGTGGTCAGCGGCCGTTTTTCCGCCCGACGTGTGGTCCGCGGACACCGGAACGGATTAACGATAATTACATTGAACCTTATGGGAAAATTTACTTCGACTTGCGACCAACTCGACTTGCAATCAGAATCACGGAACGGATTAAGTTCGTAAGTAGAGGTACCACTGTAATAGTTTCCTTAGAGGAATTCCTATTTTTACTCACTATCTTTAAACATGCTTATGCAGAAACTACACTGCTCAAATCAATATACCTAGATTTACCAAGGGGACTTGAGTATCACAATTTATTATATAAGGCTGAATGAATGCCGAATGCAGTTCTGAATTATCCTACCTTGCTGTTGAATTCCACTTGTTCCTGTATGAGTCTCTCCAAGGGTACATGCTTGAACATTCCCTGTATGTCCTTCACTGGTTCCCATTTGAGCTCCTGCAAGAAAGCAAATCTATATTGTTTGCGCTTCTCATTTCTGGAATAAGAATTACAGCTCCCCAAATACAGTGTTGTTCTTCCTAAGTACCAAAAGGAAATATAATACCAGATAAACAATGGAATTGAAATGAACATTAAAATGATGAAAAGGAAGTCATAAATGCTGAGAAAAATGTTGAAAAATGATAAGGCTGCACGGACAGATGGTGTAATTGGAGGAATGTTAGGATATGGAAGTGATTTGCTTATGGAAACCTATGCAAATTGTTTAATGCATATCTGAAGACAGCATTTGGATGTGATAACTGAAAAAAATGCTGTCACTGTTCCCTATTAAAAAGGGAAAGGTAACAAGAGTGAATGCAAAAACTACAGGGCATCAGTTTCTTTAGGTGTGTGTGGAAAGATGGCTTAATTATAACTGAAAGGCTAAAAAACATGAATAACAGCAAACCTGGAAGTGCACTGCAGGTTTATGCTGGGCAGAATTGTTTGGATCAGATGTTTGTTCTTTAGGTTTCTCAGAAATATATGAAAGTAAGAAAATGTACTCCATGTTTCATTTTGAGAAAACATATGATAAAGTAAATAGGCTTGAATTATGAAATGGTCTGGGTGAATATGCTGTTGAAAGTTGGTTGCTGTATGAGAAAAGAGTAGTATGTCATGGAAGTAAAGACTGTACAAGAATGGAATGTAATATGTTATGCCCCCATGAATGTTTACTGGATAAAAGAATAAGGAAACCTATTGTCATAAGTACTGTTTGCTGGGACTATGAATGTGTGTGTAGCTTTGTATGTAAATGATATCATGTTGTTGGCTGAGAATGCAAATGATTTGTAGTCAATGTTAGAAGGAGAAGATGATGCAATGAAAAGTATGAATGAAAATTAATAAACTAAAGAGCAAGGTAGGTGTGTTTGACAGGGAAAATGGAGTGAACAATTGCAAGTTATTAAAAAGACGATGAAAAACTAGAGCAAATAGACTATTTGGAAGCAAAATGTTTACTAAAGAGAAGATAAATTATGAAATTTTAAGACATGCAAATGTTGATTGAGATAATGGTATTATGAGTTCTGCTGTGTATAATGAATATTTGTTGAAAGAAGTGAAAGTGGCTGTGAGTGTGCTTATGCCCATTTTATTATAAGGAATGAGAACTGGATATGTCAAGAGAAACATACAAGTGAATTGAACGCAGAGGAATGGGTTACTTAAAATGTATATGCACTAAAACAAAAAAAGATGAATGGGTGCTGAACATTTATAGAATATAAAACTGAAATTGAAAGTGTGGACGTAATACATAGAGGTGGTTTAGTTGTACAGAAATAATAAATAAGGATTGAATCATAAAACCAATATAGAGAATAGTGAATTGCTTAAGAAGGGGACACTCAAATAATAATGGCTAGATAGAATTAATTAGATCCTCAAAAAGAGAGAAACAATAAATTTAAAGAACAAAATACAATGTATAAAGCCATGTATGAACATGATGAAAGCAAGGATGGTTTGCAAGAATAGAAAAGTATGGAGAGATATATCAATGGTGTTCATGTAAAGTAGTTTTAACTATGTTTCCTTTCTCTTATCTTATGCCTTAATTTCTTTGGCTTATCATTTCTTGCTCCTTTCTGTTGCTTGCCTAATGATGCTTATCCTGCAAGAGTGTAATTAGTATGTATGCAAATTTTTAATATAACAGAAAAAATATTATGTATAGAACTGGAGAGTAATAATACCAATTGCATTTTTTAAAATTTTGAACATAAATGAAATCAAATTAGCTTTTGTCCTGAACCTATAGAGTGCTTCTTGCAGTGTCGCACTTGGCCCAGAAAATGTTGCATATCCATGGCGTAGGTTTAACAAAGAGCTAGGAAGGATAAGAGCTAATGGGATACATGGACATAGGAAACAGGGCCAATATGCAGAGTCTGGTCCTGCACACAATTTCAAGTGTTCCAGTAAACACTTGAATATAATTAGAATCTCATTAAAACCTGCACAAAGCATAATAATTAATATCTAATTCAATTAATATTTATTTTAAAATTCTGAATAAAGAGATTATTTATTCTTTAGCTATTAAATTGATATCTTATTGAATAACAGTAACAGAAAGATTGCTATGTCCAAAAACTGTTCTTTTTCATATTAAAAGCATGAAGACTCAATTATTTCAGCTGTTTACTGCTGGATATGCCTATAAAATTGTGAGCACACTTTTGTGCTAATTACCAATTAATTCCCATAATTAAGTCCAAACTGAACTGTTCCTTTTCCACTAATAAATTATTCTGGATAGTAACCTACATACACAGACTTGCACTTTTTTTCTTGATTTGAGATAACCTAAAAATATAAACAGAAATGCCTGTATGTTTCTAAACCTTGTAATATTAATTCTCTATATTATTTTACTTTTGTTTCTGAAAAATATTATGTTTTTTCCCACAATAATCACAATGAAAAACCGAAATTCTTCTAATAATATTAGAATATACTGTAGATATTATATCTGGGATACCAGCATGCCCATGGACACCTTCCTTGGTGCCCACCAGACAACCTGCAGTTTTAAAAAAGGATTTAATTAAAAAAGAGACATTAGCATGCTATAAAATAAATCACAGAACCTCAGAATCAATTTTATTTCCAAGAACACTTTTGGATCCAAATGCTTGGTTAAAACACAAAAATAATAGGAAGGGATTTAAAAAGAGCACCAAACAATTAGAGCTCAATCATTCCACTGTCCAGAAGATTATCTGTAAGTGGAGAAGATTTTAAACATTCTGCCAAGAGCAGAATGCAAGATACTGAAAGAAGTCTAAGAACCCCAGAATTTCGTCATGTGACAGGTAGCTCTCGTGATTGATGTCAAAATGCGTGGGTATACCATTAGAAAGAAGCTGCACAAATTAGATCTACATGGGAGCTGTGCCAGGAGGAAAGAACATCAGGGCAAGACTAAAGTTTGCTCATGAACACCTAGGCAAAGACCAGGATTTCTGAACAATGTGCTCTGGACAGAAGAGGCAGACACCAGAAGACATGTTTGGCAAAAACAAAAGACAGCATTTCCCCAGAAGAACCTGGTACCAACTGTAAAGAATGGTGATGGAAAAGTTACAGTTTGGGGCTGCTTTGCTGCATCAGCGCCTGGGCAGCTCACAATCGCAGAATCCACTATGAATTCTTCATTGTACCAGAAGGTGCTTGATGATAATGTGAGACCATCTGTCAGAAGACTGAAGGTCAACCAAAAGTGGACTTTGCAACATGACAATGACCCTAAACATTCCAGTAAATCCAAAGAATGGCTGGAAGAAGAAGAAGAAGAAGAAGAAGAAGAAGAAGAAGAAGAAGAAGAAGAAGAAGAAGAAGAAGAAGAAGAA